GAACTGGAATCAACGAGAACTGGTTCACCCGTTTCTCGTTATCCAAAACTTACCACATGCATCCTACATAGGATCTGACATTTTGGTAAGGTTAGGTGTCCACGTGGACACCATCAACAAGGTGCTGTGGTCCCTGAAACCAGCCACAAAGGATACTCCTGTGCTAGACACAGCGAGCCTTAAGGCTGGGCAGACCATTCCGGAGGCCTGCCAAGTTGCTAGCAACCAAGACACCACAGTACCACCTCAGGTGATAAACCTAATGGTGCGAATCCACATCATAGCTGGACAAGCTATTAGCCATAAACAGGCATACTTTCAACCCTCTCCTGCGTTTTTCAACTTGGGACTGTCCGTGGAAGCCACGAACCAGGTGAGTCTTGACTCCAGAACCACATCTATTGCTGTGTGTAACACTGGCATGGATGAGGTGCTGATCCCAAAAAAGACTATGCTAGGATGGTTGATTTCAACTGACTTTCATGATTTTGAACTAGGCATTCCATTTCTGGGAGGACTCCCAGATAACCTGGTACCGAGTCAAGAAGCTGGGCCAGTATGGTTCACGGAACCAACACAGGCCATAGCTCTTTTCTCAACCAATGATGTCGACCAAGGACCTCAAACCTATGGTGTTTTACCCATAGACAGGCCCGACGACTCAGAAAGGGATTCGTTGGAGCTCCCCAAGGAGCAAGAACCCTTATCAGTCTCATCACAGATTGATCAGGTGGTCGCACAAGCCGACGCTCTGACATCTGATGAAGAAAGAGACAAACTACGCCAAGTTCTTTTAAAATATGAAAAGTCATTTGCAACTGATTCGACAGATTGTGGGTTGACCTCGCTCCACGCAGTGAGAATCCCAACCCCACCCAACGCACCGCCAACATTTGTCAGACAATACAAGATCCCTCTGGCAGCATACCAACCTGTCCAGGAGATCATTGATGACCTTTTGGTCAAAGGTATAATCAGACAATGTAATAGCACCTACTCTGCGCCTCTATGGCCAGTTTTAAAACCAAATGGTAAGTGGAGACTTACCATAGACTACAGGAAGCTAAATAAACAAGTACCTTTATCCAGGTGGCCAATGACTCAGCTCCATCAGGAACTGCCAAAGGTCACCGACGGTAAGTACTTCTCGACCCTCGACGTCGCCTCTGGTTTTTGGACCATCCCTGTGCGCGCCGAGGATCAACACAAACTAGCTTTCACTTTTGGCAGCCGACAATACACCTTTACCAGGTGTCCCTTTGGCTACGCTAACTCACCTGCAGAGTTCAACATCTTTTTGAACAAAGCATGTCCAGACGCCCACGAGCGTGGGACACTGATCTACGTGGACGACATCCTTTTGAG